TTCGATGGTCATGCTTTTAACCGCCTATCTTCATATAATGTTTATTGAATTTTTAACTGCATTTATACATTTTTTACTAATAAAAATTGTTTACTAATGTAGAGCATAAAAATATTTTTTGGGTAAAAAATGTTCTTTTAAACTGTCACATCGTCGTGATACGATCTCAATAGCCTATTTAGTCCCAAAATTTAGTTCCTGGTGGAGCAGGACGTGCAGGACTACAAGTAGGGTGACCAACGATTCGTTATTAACCCGAAGCTCAGGACTATTCGTATTTTTTTTTAAATCAACTTCTATTACTATCATGTGTAAATAATATTATCAAGAATGTAGAATATTGTTAATTATACAGTAATTTATTATATCTTAGTGTACTTTAACGAATGATAGAGTGATGATTATCCAGCCCACCCCAGGTATTTGTATAACCCACACCAGGTAGTTGAATGTCATATAGTAAATTTGTCAATTCTAGCATTACAATAAGCACGCGACACATCTTCTATCAAATATGCACTAACTCTAAGAAATATAATTCAATCTTTACTTTATAATAAATAAGTCAAATGTATTTTTAAAATAATTTTATTAATTAAATGGAAACGTTTCCATATTTTTTGTATTGTGAATGTGTCCAATAGTATTGTTTTGAGGGTAGCTATACTTTTAAATAAAAAGACAATCAGCACCTTAATCTTATGTGAACGCGGAACCTATAAAAGGAAAATACAAACGCCATGAAATCGTTTATGACTTATTTCATTTATATATAATTATTAAAAAGTATCATTTGATAATTTAGTCCTTATAAGTTAATTACGAAATGTTAACCCAGTGAAGAAGTGAAGTCCAAAAAACAAAAAAAAACTATTTTTTTAAACAAAACGAACTGACCTATCGCATAGACATCACAGTCATGCCAGTAATAAGGCTATGATAATCGACCGGTTAATAAAGTCGGCTCTTTTGTCTATTGTTTACATTGGGGTGGCACGTGATTCCAGGAGTCATGCCGGCCTCTTTGGTCGGACCTCCCTCGGACGTCATGAAGCTACAGGCTGTTTCGTTTAGTCATGAAGATACTTTTTTTTTAATGTAGGTCGTAATCAAAGTATGTTTTCTTTTTCTATTTATTTGTGTTCTAATTTTTATCACAATAAATAAACAAATATTTTTTCCTTATTCGTATAATCTATCATACATAACTATTAAACAAATTATCTGCCTGATCTTGTAGTTCGTAGAGCACCAAAAGCTTTTAAAAACAAATCAATAAGCAGAAAATCTAAAAAAAAATATTAACTTAAATATGCTAATATGAATATGTTTTAGTAAGCACGTTCTAGCGTAAAAAGCACTTTAAAAGTCGTTTTCACTTTAAATGGGATTAAAAGTGTAATCTTTATCTCTAAATCGGGAAAACTATAGGTAAATTACACGACATATGTGTAAAATTTCTCAAAAGAATATCCAGTTAATAAAAAATCAAACTTCTACATTTATAATTATTAGCAATTTGATTAAGTTAGTGTCTATGTTAAAATAAAATTCTTTAAACAAAACTTTTTTTACACATTCATTTTTTTATATAAATCTGTACCTTTCACGGTATATTCAAATCATGCTGTATAGGTGTGAGGGGTGCGCGCGCGCAGTCTACGTCGCCGCACGTGGCTCAATTTAGGCGCGCGTGTGTCGCACGTTAATGACGATACAACACCACGTGCATAGTGGACAAACACAGAATATGTAATTGTAATACTGTTAAAAAGAAAAGATCGAGATTGAAGTCGAACTATTTCATTATGTTATTCTTATCTTCACCAGCCTTTGCTGAAACACAAATTTTCCCTATGGATGGAGAAGCAGCCATAACCTACCAGAGCAAGCGGAAGTTATAAAAATAAATATCTGACATCAAATACATTGCTCACATTCCAAGAAGAGTAACTAAAGCCCCATATTATGGAATATCAGAGACAAAGAATGTATAACAATACCGAGACCCGAAATAACACAGATAAGTTTATTTTCTACATTGACCTGACCAGAATCGAACCCGAGGCCTCTGACACTTTGAAACCGGCATGCGAACCATTTGGCTACGGAGTCGTCAGATAGATTCTTATAGATTGCAGAGGAAGTTGGTACCAAAAATTTTACGTGCCTTCTGAAGAACGAGGTGATGATGATGATTTTGGTCACCAATCCTATTACCCTTGTAAAAGATGGTTAACTATCACGCCACATAGCAGACTGAACGTGTCCACTGCGTCATCGAGTTCTTAGCCTCGAGCTTATTACCTTACATAGTAATTTAATAAGCTCGAATAATAATTGTTAGTTAAATGAAAATTTAATATAAACGCTCAACTCATATAAAATACAAAAAAATCAATAAAATATAATTGATATGCGCAAAAAACTTTAAAAAGAATTCATGCAAGTTCTATATGTGTAACTTCGTACCACAATACAAGTTAAACTTTGTGAGACTTGACTAGAAAATTCTATTAATGTTGCCGGCTTCAGTTAACAGACACGACGTTTCTTAGAAAAAACAGTTATGACATTTGGTGTTTTGATAATGCCGACTGTCGATTTCCGGCGATACAAAATGTTAAATACTTAATAACTCTTTTTTGAAAACCGATGACCCTTGGACCCTTGTAATAATGTGATTAAGAAATTTGTTTTTAAAGTTTTCATTAAAATGAAACTAATATCATAAGATATGGGTAAATGCTTATATGACATTCAAAGGATGTTAAGAACTTGTGTAAACGAATTTTTGTGAATAAATTGCTTTTTATATAATCATCATTACAAAAAAGGAACTGTAGATGTTTCTATTTTTTTTTAACTAAATATAAGTTGTCTATTTGTTTTCTCCTTTCCATATGCATTGTAATACATTTTCGATATTTGTAATCGACATTACCTTCTATAGAGGGCGCTATGTCTATGTTTTAATTTGCAATTTATTATATTTGAGACATGAGATTGCGTGTCCGATAAGAATTAAAAAATTTTTTTTAATGGATCGTTATTTTGAAAAAAAAAAAGGAAATATTTAAGCGGGTAAACAACAAAAAAATGCTGTCTCTTTTCAGTTACCCTTATTTAATTAATAGTAAATATAAAACTAAAGTGTTAGCGAGACGAAATTGACCAGCAGCGAGATAAAAAAAACTGAATAATAGCGTATAATCCGAAATAGAGCACCAAAAATAATGTGCTATTAGATAATTAATAAACTTTTACTGCCATAATGAATACTTATATTTTGAACAGGAAAGATTTGATTATTTGTTGGTGTCCATTGTAGTTAGAATCCTACACGATCCTTGATAAACACTGGCGATAGAATATTTTCAAAAACGTTAAGGTTAAGTTAATATTATTAACTAAGTAATTTATTATTAAAATTAGAGGAATGTTATGGCACAATGAATTACCTAATTGGCACAATAAATTAGTTTATATGGACTTAATTTATTGACTCGCAACCAATTAGAAGATTTTAAGCGCCATCTTCACTTTAAAACCGTTCTCACATTAACATCTTAAGATGTGTAGATTACTGTTGTTATCTGCGTAACGCGGGAGCCGGCCGCAGGCGACGGGCTCTTAAAAAACTACTACACAAAAAAACTACCAGGAAAAACTACCACGGAACGAGATGCCGAGATGCGCGATTTGATTAGTTTGTTGCTTAAGCCCTGGGGAGCGTACGGTTACTCGTGTTTTGTGGTCTGTTGAAATTATTATATTATCTTAGTAAAAAGTAATACACTATTCAAAAAGAGAAAATAACTCCACTGACATATTTCAATTTCTTATACCGCTTATATGAAGTAATATGGAATCTGAAATCCTATTCTAGTTTTCTGAAAACGGAATTTCGTCTATTCGTCGAAATGCTAATACAACTCCAAAGAAACGCGATTTTCGATATTTATTATGCAACAAATATAGGACCTGACACTGTCATGCACAGATAATCTTAATTTTAACGATTTTTCGACAGGACTTATTCAAAATTTTTCGGATTTCGGAGTTATACACTCATTAACACCGTCTAGTTAGACGTTTCAGGACGTGTAAAAAACTGTGTAATTTTAAGGATCATATCCAAATTATTATCGACATTAGACAGGTCCCTCACAGACATAATTTAATATAAATATTGTCTAAATTACTAAGAGAGAGTCGATAGCGAACGAATTAGCTACGTAACAACTAGTGTACCAGTAAAATATATGATATAAAAAAAAATTTTGTGGATAACTTTATATCGTATTAATACATAATTGAATTGCTTGATATAATTGTAATATTTACTACATTAGTAAAGCTAGTTTTAAAGAAAATATCCTATATACATTTCGACAATTAGCTTAGCTAAATTTCATAATTTAACGATGCCTTTAAGCATCAAGCTGCAAGCTGAAGAAGTAAATACACAGAAATAAATAAGTATACCGTTTATTATTCGGCTACAACTAAAAACTTTAAAATAAGGGAATGAATAAGTTCCGGAGCGTTAATGATTTTGTTGTTTTCTCCCTATATCTTAACAAAAACAACTTTATTATCCGCATTGTCACGGCTATAATAATGTTTATAAGATAATTCTGATATTATCAGTTCTAATCACCCACTTGTTAACCATAAAATTACATGTTTAGTACAAGAAAACGATCAAACACCTCTCATTAAATTCTAATTAACTTTTATCATATACATCTGCGCAGGCACATAGCTTACACGGCAAATCGCAACTCTCCACTCATAAAAACAGTATCAATAACTGTCACCGCGTCCAATCGTTATACTTTTGTCCCGTTTCTCCGTACTATAATTACTCTAACATTATCTACGTCTCTCTCGAACTCATTAATCTTAAAGCGAGTTGGTAACGAAACGATCATTCCATTTCTTTCGCGCGAAACAACGGGCGAGGCTCCGTAATAGAGCGACATACAAATCACTAGCTGTCTCTGTCGCGCGCGCGCTCATTACGCCGGATGAAGCTGTATTTCAGTCGTTTTCGTTTTTGAAATGATAGAACCTTTTTCGAAATGACAAGACGAAATCGTCTGAACCTTTTTAAAATTGGTGTTGGTCTGGTCTACGTCCCAGGACTCGTTAAGGCGCCGGGCGCATGTTTTTCGACGAGAAAAAAAATAAAACAAGTCTCGCGAGAAAGAGAGCCTTAGCGGAGGCTTTTTATAGTCGCTGCCCCGATGCGCCCGCGCGCGGAAGTATCGGAGCTTCAGGATCGCCTTAATCTCATTCTAATAAAAAGCTTACGCATAAATTGACGCGCTGTCATTGAAGTTTGAGAATTTTAAAATAGTTTTTTTTTCCTTATGACGTGTTCCGTTAACACGTTGTAAGATTATATAGGTGTTGAATTATGTTCGGCACGTGCTGTTTATTGTTATTTTTATGGTTGAGATATTATGACGTTGTTTTAATGTGGTGCCGCGAAAAGGGTGGTTTTCAATATTGACTTATCATTAGGACTTTATCATTCGAACTGTGTGGTCGTGTTTGTTTTATGTTATGATGGATTAACGTTAAATGTGATTAAGTGATTTACTTTATTTTATTTTGTTTGAGGAATTACTGCTTTGTCACAATGTTTTTAAGGTAAATACCGGCGGTTTCTTAAAGTTATTATTATATATTTTTTCAAGTTTTTGACATTTACAGCAGAAAGTTATTAAAATTTATTTTTAATCATAAATATGATGATAATAATTAATTAAAAATATTTGAACTAGGAATTTGTTCCTGTTCAATATTAGTTTGTTTTATATTTTTATCGGTACTAATTAACATCGTATTTAATAATCGTTGAAGCGGAAGTTAATTAATTCCAATTTGTTAAAAAAAATAATTATAATACAAAAATATTATAATATTAAAAATATTTAAATGAAAAATAAGTATATTTTCTTTATATCAGATTTTTTGATAAAATTACTTTCTTACTTCACTCCATGTAAAAAGCAGTGGTCGGAATTAGGTAGAGTTATTCATGTACTTACACTGATTTCATACAGCGAAAGAATAAAGTGGATATGCCTCAAATCCCGAGATTAATTTTAAAAAGCAGAAAAATCCCGTGATTTTTAAAATAAAAAAGTTATTTACTTTTACACAATTTAAACTACTGCACGCACGACGTTGCCAAACTTACATCAATGAAAGAAAGAAATAAAGAAATCCCGGTAAGGTCCACATTAATATCAACATTTCGATGCAAGTACATAAATAACTCTACCTAATTCCGACCTCTGGTAATATGTTATTTATTTTTTATTATATTTTATCAACTTCGCGTACATAATGCTATACTGAAAAATATTGTTAATGAAATATGCTTAATAAGTCCACTTTGTCCCTGGCACTCTGAGATGGGATTCGAACGCATAATCTTTCACAATTCGGGCGACTGTTGTAACCCCTTAGCTACCCAGGCCCTAACAGGACTGACGAATTTTTCAAACTAAAAGCCATAACATAAAATCATTAAAATGTACTTAACATATAAAAAGCTTCATTGTGGAGAGAAATTTACCTTTAAGGTTTTAATTTCTTTGTTGGATTAATTTAGAAAACTATTTTTATATATAGTTAATTACGAGATGTCTTTATGATTGATAAATGGACAATAGATATTGGAAATAAAATATTAGGAATTATATAACATGAAAACAGACTTTTAATAGAATAAAAAAAGTATCTTGTGATATTAAAGTTATCTATAGAATTTAACAATACAATTAATATTACTTATTATTCATAATTGTTATTTAGAGTAAAAATTATATACTTAATATGAGCGAAAGGATTTTCAGAGTTAATCAAAAATAAAAATCGAGCAAATATCTACGTAATTATATACCTATATAATTAATTACCATTGACAGATCACAAATTTGCATTTTGTTTTCTCATTACGTTATTTAAACATTAACTGAAGCAGTGATTAACACCCACCAATCCCAACTGAGCATATTAAGCACATGTGGGTTGTGACCCGTCCCCTCTATAGTCTTTTATTCATGGTCAAGATCCTGGACAGTGGTGCATTAATATATATATATTGATCATAATGCTAGTTATATATTATATTAGGTTTACGCCGGCTTCGTCTGCGTGGTCAATCATGAACTGTTTATTACTATATCAATTAATATCATGAGACCGATATAATTACAATGACAAATTATAGTAAACAACGGTTACTATGGTAACGTTTTAATTACATATATAATCTTCAATTTCTATTTTCATCTGTTTGCTGTTTTTCGGAATAGAATATGGCCTATGATTACCACATGTGATGTAGCTTACCGTAGGTAAAATAATTTTTAAAATCAGTCCAGTAGCTTTTGAACCTATTCGTGGCAAACAGATAAAATAAATTGAATAAAATTATTCCACAACTCTGTTTTTGTAAGGCTCATTGCCAAAAAGTAAATATTAATATTTAAGTACACCTGTGAGTAAGTGACCAGTAAGGATGTAAGGTACAGATTAATAAGACACACAGACACTCGTTTCTGTGCCAAAAAGTCAATTGAAATGAATCAACCAAAATTTCAATTACAGTCCTGCACCGTCTGACCATTAAGGTCGGAAAAATACAACTCGACCTATTCCTGTTAGAGTTTTTAGTACTCCAGTAGTCAAAAACATTGACCCTTATAGTAACAGTTGATGAATTGATTAATGGTATTGTTTTATGAAAGGTGCACTATTCAAAAAGAAACAATATATCTACCATTACTGCAGTCCACCAACTGGTACGAATATACGTAACACTGTAATTGAGATGTATTAAAGTTTTAGCACTGGAGCTTAATTATTGGGGTTTTGTAACCTCAAAACTGAGGTAATTATCTTGTTGACACATTTTATTTTTTAAGTTTAATCACGCGTCACGTTTTACGTAGATTTTGATATGTTTTTATTGGATAAAATAATCGTAGTCAGAATAGTACTTTAGCTTTAATATGAATGAATGAATACTTATTGAACACGTACACCAATTGACAAATAAAATATAATAATAAGAAAAGTCCCTAGTGATAATTCTGTAACTAAAATATAAATAAAAAAATAATAAGAAAAACTTTAAATTTACCTAAGTTCTCACACTCTATCATAGTCGGTAATATAAAAATAACTGAAGAAAAATGAAATAAATAAATATCTACACCGCTTTAACCGATTTTCTAAATTCATGTATTAGAGTGGTCCTAAATTGGACCCATAAGAAAATCGGATTAGAAGTTTTGTTTTTATGACAAAATAGTTGGAAAAAAAATATGTACGTAGGTGACTTATGTATATAATCTAAAAACAATTTTCATAACACCTATACAAAAAAACATCACTAAAAATAATGAAATTATTATTTCTTGAATATTAAACAACTTTTTAAATAAACATTATTTCTTACTTATACATTTTAAGTCTATTTAAAAAAAAAACCTATAATTTTATTTCGATAGTTAGGCGATCACTTGTTACTGTATACGAGTAACTCAATCATAAGTAACTTTTAATAAAGTACGAGTTACACCAGCATTGATGAGATCTAAGACTGAATCTAAATAATTACTAAGATGAATAACAACTTTCTTTGTAAACTAAATTAACACAATTATAACATATATTTTTGTACTGAAAATGAGTACTTTAGATCCTATTTTCTGTACAAAAGGGTTTAAAAATATAAAATACCTACGTGAAGAAATCGTGACTACCTTTTTAGCCGATACTACGTTGACAATAGTTAAACACTAGCATAAATCATAACCTTGTACTGAAATATCTTGTACGTAGGTGGTAAATGTTACGTAGAACCATATTTGGCTTTTCAATTTAACCCAATGAATTTTCATGGTTTGTAAAGAACATTTAGAGTTTACAATTCACTTAAGTGTTATAAAAGTTGATTATTTCCATGCGAGTATAATGCCCGTCACGTATAAAGGCCGCTGGCGAAGTACCAGCACAGTGCGCGATTTATGTAATATTGACGGGATGAGGGGATGCAACGATGATAATAAGTGTATAATATCATTGTACTATGTATAATATGTATACATGTATAAGTATAAATAAATAAATATCGGACAACATCACAGACATTGATCCGATTCCTAGGTAACTAGCTTAGGCACTTTTGTTTCGGATATCAGAAACAACGGGGGAATACAAATATATACACTTGTAAATAGAAAACACTCAGACACAGAACAGACACACAAATATTTGTCCTGGGTGGGCATCGAACCCACCACTCTCGGCGTAATAGTAGGAACGCTACCACCGCGCCATTGAGCCCGTCGTGGTATACATAGTACATTATTAAAACTTTATAACTTAAACTTAACATACACCGACATATGCGTAATTCTCTGTTTCAGCGGCCTTTTTACGTGACGACAACTATATCTACATTTATTAAAATAAAATAAAAAATCCAAAGCGTATTGATGAGAATATAATATTAGGTCCTTTATCTCTCATTTCTGTGTACAAATACGCTCAAAAATCCGCACTGGATCCGCGAATTGTGTTGTAACACATTTAAAAAGGGAATAGACTGTAGTCAATTCCCTCTACATTTTTCTATCTATAGAAATCGCAAAAAATAGTAAATCCAATGTACATGAATAAGCTCTTAATAATCTACTCCTGTATGTTGATATATGTTTCTTCGTTATCACATATCTTTATATTTGGATCTGTAACGGGTAGACTTGAAATTTTCAGATATATTACATTTTGTCCAGCTCTTTATTTAATTATAATTATATTTAATTTAATTTTGTCTATTTATAAGACAGTAAAAAGCTTTAGATATATAATTATTATTTTAGAGTAAAAATTGTCTATTCTGTACTTGTTTTCAGTAGAACTTATTGATATAACAAAAAGGTTCATAATCATACAGTCACGTTTCAATGCAGATACATCTGGTTCTAATACTTGTCCACGTTTATCAATTCCGTCATTTGTTAACACTAAACTATACAAACAAATAACGTCTAACTGACATTAACAAATTAGCTTCTGTTATACTGAATTATTTATCTAAAGACATAACAGAATTAAAATAAGAAACATCAACAAAATCTTTGATTCAAGCCTTCTTTAAGGAAAGACTCCTTATATCTATAAAGATATAAGATGTAAGGAGTCCCTTCCCCTCGATCAATGTTCAGATCAATACTGTGTATCCACCCTGGATTTCCAAACGCGCAAAAGTGTCGATTCTCTCGCAACTTAAAGTGAGGACTCGCTTATCCACCATAAACCGCCAACGCATTCTCACATTCTTAGGACATCTTATACGAAAAGGCGATGAGAGCCTCGAGTAGCTTGTCATGGTTGACACTGAAGACCACTGAGATCACCAACCCGATGGACAGATCAAATGGAAGACTCATCTACCGTCAAGTTCCGCATGATAGTTAGAGATGCGATGGCCAGAGGCCGATGGAGACGAATAGTCCAAACCAAATGGAAAGATTATATAGGAAGAACTGGCCATAAACAACCAATCCATGCAAAATATTTACACAATGCACACAATAAAGCAATTCGACATATGCTGCAGATAACTGCACCGTCGATTATCAGGTGACACCTTTAAGTGGAAAAAAAAAACAATTATAATATCGTATCATAATAATCACAAAACATAACTTTATTAGTATAAATGCGGCACGTACCCCATTTCAAAGCTTTGCTAAGTTCACCTTTTTGAAAAAAATCCTTTAGATTTTGATAGCCTAGCTTTTCAACTTTTGCAGGACTTGTTAACAGCCGACGACGAATAAAAATATGTTTAAACCTTTAAACTCTACGATTTTTCTGTTAAATACTACTAAAACTAGAACTACTTCAAGTATCGGTATTCAGAATATCTTCAATCAAATACAAAAACTGTGTGAGCGTCCGCCCAGGTGTGCTAATGCATTCATGGACAACGCACCGTGAAATACTCACATCGTTACACGGTGCCACTCTAAGAGGAATGTATTTTTTGTATCACTATTACTAGTGACCACTCTATATTGAGAACACTCAGTAAAAAACAATAATTATAAGATATTTTCTTTGTCTATACAAAAATTCAAATTAAATTTTTATAATGTAATAAACACCGATCTCTGTAATATTGTTTGCCTGTATTATTTTTAAGGATTTTTTTTGTCATTTCAAAGCCTATATCTTTGAGTATATATATGAGGTCTTATTTTTAAGTATATTTATTATCAAGGTAAAAAATATACTTTAAAATAAGACCTCGTAAAGATAACCAGTTCTCAGATAACTTTTTTTAAGTTCTTGGGTGTACATTATTTTCTCATAGCTGACCAATATTGCGGTGAACACGCATTAAACGGAAAATTATACAAACGCACAGAAAACCTTTTCTTTTTCCGCATTGAGAAGAAAATGTACTTTTTTTAAATACAACAACATAACAGTTTATGAGCCGTTTTAATTGTAAAAATACTTGATTTCCTTAAAAATACGAAAATTAAGTTTTTAAGTCTTCCAAATTGATAAAACTTGATTCTACAAACTTTAAACGTTATAACATGTTTAAAGTATGTAGAATCAAGTTCGCATCATATTTCATACAAGTTTTAACTCCAATATACCACATGAAGGTACACACGAAACGAAAAGCACTCGTAAATCTTCCAAAACGCAACAATCACTCAAATCTCAATCAAATTAATAACAACGCGAGGGGTACAATCATCGGCAGTTTTTTCCCACAATCATACTTAACGACCAAAAAAACTTTATCACACAAACAAATAAAAATAAAAGGCCCATGAAAAGGACTCCCAGGGGAGATGAAAGCGGCGCGCGCGCACGTTACACCGACGGAACGCTACTTCCTTCGATTCTCTGTAGTCTCATTAATGAATTGGTACTTATTGTTATGGTTGTTATTCTAAATGAATATAGAAGTGATTTTGACACTGAAAATTGTTTTGTGATTTGATTATCGGTTTTGTAAGAAAATAAACTTAAGCATTTCAAACTGTATTACTTAAAGAATAATTCATCAATTGAGGATAATTGTAAGTCATTATTAAAATGATTGAGTCGCAATGTACAAGACACTCGTAAAAGCATATTTCAAGATGTTTGCCATTTTAATTGTGATCTTTTAAAAGAACATTATGCATATATAACACTGAAATTTTATAAAATTTTATACTACAAGCAACACTATCTAAATAAGAAAAATGTATATTGTTATTAATTAATAAGACAAAGATTTAAACATAATATTTTTTAGGAAATCCAGCGTGTTTCCTTTGCTACACAGGAAACAAAAGCGGTGTCTCTCAATGTTGTGTATTGGAACCCATTTACTTTATTTGAAATTTAAGTTTAATCACTTAAGACTTGTACATCACATATGCAATGCAACTAAAATAATTTAATAAAATCTTTTGGAAGGTATTACTTAATATTCTTCCTTATTCCATCTCACATTTTTGTCATAGCCGCTTACGCACACAATGCGCGGATACGTGTGTTCCGGACAGGTGCCGCTTTATACCGACCGCATCTTATTTGAATGATCTATTAGAATAGTTGTCAGTGAACCGATCGCAGGATACTGCTATTACTATTTTATAATTTGTAATGACCATGTCTTAATAAATCTATAAAAATATCGACAATTTTATTGCTTACAAGAAAAGATATTAAAATGTACTTAAAGTAGTATATTATTTTCAGTTCTTGTTATCTATGATAATAACATAGGGGTTATTAAAAAAAATAAAAAATAATACTCATATATATAATTACTGGCGTTAAAACAGTAATACCTAAGTTTATAGCTTGATTACTATGAAGTTACTAGGCAATAATAGGTTCTTTGCAAATAATTTATCTTTCTAATATATCATCTACTTAACAAACGATGAGTACAAAAACTTATCAATATTAATTAATGCTGTTTATAGCCTTAATGCTGTTTATAAACATACTGTCAATTGTCTTAGGATTATTTGCCAACTTACAACATTGATGTTGTTGGGTTCGATGTCATAATATAGTGTCAATGGATTAAAACCTTTATTACCTATTTTAAAGTGGGTTTTATTTTTTATTTAACTTCTATGACCTATCAGTACTGTGTTCGATCACGAATAAGAGGCTATATTGTATAACAGAAACTAAAGTAAACTAAGAATAATAATAATAAATAACAATATATTATTATTTCACAAAAATAAACACAATTATAGCACAGTCAGAACTTACTTATGTGGCTGCTGGTACTTAAGATAGAAAACTCTGTGCTTGAAATTCTGCCCTAGAGTGTTGCTTTGTAATGCAGTATGAATAGTTGCCGCACTGTGAACATTTCGCAGAATTCATAGAGTTTTTCTTTGGAAAACGGAAGGGTTTTAATTTGCACACTTTCAATATAGCACGCTGTGCCCTTTCGCGTCACATTAAATGAGTTTTATACGCCCCACCTTAAGACATAATACAATATTCCAATAAGAACTGACATAAAGTGTGATATACTGTTTTTAAGTTTTAGGTTTCGGAACACGTCGTAAATGTTTAAAAATCTAAACTTTCCAATGCCCTTTGACAGCAACTCAATATGCAGTACAAATGACAGCTTTTCATCCAGCATTACGCCTAGATATTTAATTGTGTTGGTGTTAACTAATTTAAGACATTTTACATTATAGATTTGGGTTTGTAGGATGATTATGTGCCTGAATACAATATTGCTCTTCATTAGGATATGTGGTTTAAATAACCCTGAACTATAAATACTTAGTTTTATCTACGTTAAGAGACAGGCTATTATCCGATAACCATCCTATTATATTATCAAAAACTATCTGAACAGCATGAAAACTTTGATCACATGTATCTGCAGTAAAAACAAACGCGATATCTACTTTGATTCAAATTTGCACTTATCATTGATATAAGCTAAGAAGAGGGCAGGACCTAAGATACCTCCTTGCTGAACACCGCACTCTATTAGAAATGCGCTGCTCATACAATCATTAATCTACGTACTTGAGTACGATTGGACAGGTAACTTTTGAATTATTCCAACTGAATGTTTCTTATTTAGAAGTTTGGGGGTGGAGATCGTATCCAAGGCCCTAGCTATATCGAGGAATATTGCTACATATTTTTTACCACTATACTGCGTCGTTAGTGGACATATTATTCCTAAGTCCAAATTGTCATTCTGAAAGCAAGTTAGACATTTTTTGAGTTTATTATTCATTACTTTCTCAGGCATCTAAGATACTACTGGTAATATCGATATTGGAAGACAGTTGTTCACATGATTTATGTCCCTAGACTTAATAGAATACATAAAATAAAAGCTTAACAAAACTGAAGTAAACTTCTTTTATTGTAGTTTACAATAATATAATTATTCCTTAGATTACATATTATCACAAAATAACATTATTAAACACAGTAAATAAATAAATTTATTCAGGATCTTTCTTCGTTCAACAGATTTGAGCCTACAAAATCTACAAAGGGTGCAAGCAAGATGCGTCGGGACCTGATCAACGCTGAGATCTCAAACCTTCGGGACCTGCTACCTCTGCCCCCTTCTACCAGGCAGCGGCTTTCACAGCTGCAACTCATGGCCCTAGTCTGTGTATACGTCAGGAAAATGAATTATTTCCAACAGTGTAAGTCTATATCATTTTTTTTTTATTTAGATTGGCATTAGCCAAAAACTTACAAAAAATTGCATGTAATCAAATGTTATAAGTTAAAGACCAAAAATAGTAAATTCTCACTTAATATAAGTCTAAATTTAGTTTTTATATAACTTAGATATCAGTAAGTTCTATATGATAGATTACAAAATATAAATAATCTCAAATTAATCCATTAAACATACGGATATCGAGTCTAAGATCCGCTAATACCTTTACTATGATATACATTCAGAAACTTAACCACCCTAAAATCCACTCAACCTCAAAATAGTTAATTCAATATCAATTAATGTTTACCTTTTATTCTAACAAAAGCAACATATTGGCCTAAATACTCACAAAAACAAATGATAGTTTAAAAAAATGCAAATCACGACGCAAGTTCAAATGCTACATTAAACATCCAACATAACCATTTCCCATATTTTACTTCCCCTTTTAACTTCCCATGGCCGCTCATCACGTGCTTATCCTAAAATCTCTTCTCCCAAAACTTTTTGTCAGTTCTTCAGTCACGAATAAGCGTATTAAGACGTTTTTAAAATGCATTTAGTTCACTATCTTATCCTGTTTCGCTATAACTTCAACCATAATAGTCTTTCTTTCTGTTTTAGTGTTTAAAAGTCACGACTTCACCTATCACTATCAAGAACAACCGACACCCACTCCTAATATTGGATTCTCAAAGGTATTTGTTACAAGTTTACGACTGCTCTGATAATAACTCTATTAGAACATGTAAACAGTGCATTTGACGAACTGAACATTGTAAAATAATGACAAATTTAATTTGATTATTGTAAAAATGCTCAATAATATTTTCAACATTGTTGCCTTAAAATATCACCTAAAATTATTGCATAAGTCACGTCATAATTTATTATAAGGAATTATTTATTATAATAGATAAAAAATTCCTACTTGAACTCGATAAATTCAAAACTATAGATTATATTTTTATGGGATTTTCACCAATATAATTCATCAAGATGATTTAGTAAATGATAAATTAAGATTTGTTTAGATTCTTTGGAAAGTGACAAATTTACACAACTTTCTACTTAATGGATAATGAAATATCTAATAACACACGATACAAAATGCCTAATATGACTAAGGTTTAACATTGACACTAAAGTTTACAATGTGTTGCAGGCAATGAACGGTTTTATGATGATGATGACGCAAAACGGAAAACTGCTATACATATCGGAAAACGCTGCGGAATACTTAGGACATTCAATGGTTTGTATTACCTGAGTATTAAGATACATTTTACAATCAAAAGTTTTAACGCGTGTAATGGTAATGTAACTTTTTATATTGAGTTTGTTAACAATATAAATTAAACATCGGATCTTTTAGTGATTATTAAATATCAAAATAGTAACTGAATAACTTCATAGTATACTGACTCTAAAATATTGAAAGCAGTGACTCAAAACTTGTAAGAAACTAATAAAGATATATTTCAGGAGGACCTATTAATCCACGGAGATAGCGTTTACGACATAATAGATAGACAGGATCATCAAACCGTTCAAATGGAGCTTAACAGAGGAGAAAACTCAGAGACTGAAAACATACCAAAGAATAGACATTTTTTCTGTAGAATGAACGTCTCTAGAAATGCACGACGACAAATGAGATTCGGTGACCAAAAAGTAAGTCAAAGTAAAATTATTTATCACATTTAAATAATAATTGCGTAAGATCATAATATCTAAAATATCAAAAAGGTATGTTTAAGGTGTATTCTTTGTTTTAGGTAGTTCTTGTAAGAGGGCATTATATATCATACCTACCGCTGTGTAGTCGCAACGAGCCAGTGTTTCTAGCTGTGTGCACGCCCCTGGCGATGCCAGAAACACGCGAGTGCGTTGTGCACGGCGCCACCAACGTATTCACCACTGTCCACGCGGTCGATATGAAGATACTACACATCGACGCCAAGTAAGTCAACAAACATCTGGTTTCGTATACCCTTGGTACAATGTTTAAGAGTGAATATTACATCCCACACAATGCTACTAATGCCTTCACTACTGTTCACACAGTCGATATTGGTGATCGATGCCAAATCAGTCAACAAATGTGTCGGCTTTGGAGATAAAGACATACAGAAATAAGGATATTAACTATTTCTGTATGTCTTTGTCTGCACAAAGAAAAATTACTTGCAGATCAAATTAAAGCATCTGCGGATCCATTACAAACGTTCTAACGTCGGTAAATATTTTAATTTAAACAAATTGAATGTCCATGAATAATTATTGTAGTCGAGTCGTCTATATGCCAAGCTTCATACGCGGTACAGTTAGCTTTCGGTAAATAGTCATGTTCATTAGCAAATAAGCATTCAAATCAATTGTATCAAATGAATAGCAAATTGAGGGAGCGTGGATGTAATAATAACATCGCTCAAATAAGTAAACTCATTGGCGATAACATACGTAAGCTGATGAAGACTTGTATGTGTAACGATTGTAGTGACTTGACTACTAGCCTTTTAGCCTGGGGTTGGATGTGGAACAGTCTCTGCTGAAGTCCAGACCCACTGGCAAGCAGTAGACTACGACACAAGAAAAAAAAAAGATAATAGCTTTTTGCTGGGAGTTAGCCGTCTATTACTTTTCTGTTTTGATTTTGAAACCTTCAATTTTTCTAATCAAAAATCCAATTTTTGGATTTTAGAAATGCCAGAATTATTTTTAATAATACATGAACATGTTTCAACCAACTTTAGAAAGAAAGGAAAGTTTTTTTAGAAACATTATAGTAGTCGCCTGATTTAAATTATGTCAGATAAAAACCAAATTGAAAACTTTACTTTTTGTTACAGCGGCGAATGGTATTTGGGTTGGAAGAAATCTGAATTGACTGACGTTTCGTGGTACCAACTTATTCACTGGGACAGCCTCAGAGAAGCCCAAAGCAAACATAGATTAAGTAAGTGCAAAAAACTAACTAAGAACGAGTCAGACTCAAGCGCTGAGAGTGAGCACAAATATTACACTTTTCATTGTCCGAATACCAGGGAGTGGCCAATTTGCATTTATTTTCTTAAAAACTTGACAATGAATTATTTTAATAAGATATATTTAAAATGCTTTTTAATAATCCACTTCATTTAATGGGTCACATGATGTTATTTATATCTACAAATCTATATCTACAAATTAATTTAGAAACTATAAATAAATATGTATTTGTTTCTGAAAAATATGTATCGGTGTTTCAACAGAGTTAGATACTTACTGGGAGTTATGTCACTTGTTTCTAGGATCAGCGGTTCTCAAACTATTATGTGATGATCTATTTTGGAAACTATAATTAATTATTTAAACGGAACCTTTAGTTAAAATAAAAATTAATTTTGTGTACTGTTTTATATTCTACTTTAAGTCCTATCATTTGCCGTAATAGGATCAATATTTTAGTGATCCTCAACATTTACCTAGCGTGCATACTTTGAGAAACATTATCTAGAATTGTACAACTGGTATTTAACATAAAAATGAATATTTTGATTTTAACAATCATATTTCATCTAACTACAAATAATTAATAAATTATTAAGGCTGTACTATAATTCTTTGTAGTTATTTTTTATTTTAGAAACCTACTTATAACATTGATTTTAGTCATATTATAAATGCCTATACATACGTCCACTTTATTTCTTCCTCATATTTTAAATTTCATAAACTTCCTTCCGCAAATATAAATTAATCGTTTATTGATTGCCAATAAACACATTTATATCGATTGCCAACGATAAACCGACAGTAACATACATTAACTGCCCGCAATAAAACTCTTGGTTCACTACAGTATTTATCGTAGTTTTTCTAGTCTGTACACCGCCTAACGATTTGCTACGGATATTATATTGTGTATCGGCTATTAGCAAAATACTCTAAAAATGTGCTATTTTTAAAAATAAAATGAATCTCGCAGAGGTATATACATAGCACGTAGTTATTAAAATATGTCAATTCTTGCATCTGATTTTGAACTCTATCAATGACTAATTAAGGCTAACATTTGTTGGAGAAATTTGTCAGTGTTGCATAATCTGATGTAGGTACTGTTGACGGAACAAATATATATACGTAGTTACCATTTTCAGATATTCAATATATTCTTTTATGAGCTATCGTCTCTAGCACTTAATAATAAATAGGTATAAAAAAATAATTGAAAGCTCAAGAAAATCAGAAATCACCGGTTGGTTTTGAACTATTGAAATATTTGTGAAATAAATAGTGACGTCACAAACAATGAGTGGTATCACTCACTTCCTACAGATAATTTGATTTGATGTTGACAAACTTTGATTTTAAGATTTGTTGAATAATAACTTTTACCTCTTTGTCACAGTAACCCAGTCAGAGCAGGACAAGTGTTGTATTCTGCTAGTGAAATTACAACAGAGGTCGGGTCAATTTTTATGGGTTCACGTGGTGCTACAAGTTAAAGACGCAGCCGACTCACCTAGACAATTCATCGTAGCTACTAACCAGATATTAAGGTAATCACACTAATCAAATACGTATAAAATAAAAACTAGGCTAAAATATACAAAAATACAATCATTACAAGTAAATATTTTGGCTATTCTAAAATTTAACTTATAGGCATATACAGACACTGTTCTTGAATTTAAATATAAAATGAAATATATGAAATAGAATAATATTATAAATATGGGAGTAATTAAATTAGATGTAGAGATAATTGAAGTATTGTATAATACTTCAATTATCTCTACATCTAAAGAAAGATATAGACTACTCTTTTGAAAATATTCGGGAAACGAATCGATGCGGACGAAGTGGCAATTAAAAACTAGTTAAAAATAAGTTTGAAGTCATAATTCAAAGACGACGCAAATTAAATACACTAATTCTCAGGTATCTTTATCAATGAAGTCTTGGGTCCGAAATTCTGGTTTACAGGGAACTTTTCGGGTCTATTGCCTTGTGTTCGTTGTTACATTTTTTAAATATTACAATAGTGTGATTTTGTTTATTATGCATTATTTTCTTTCTTATTAAACGTATTAAAAATAGACTAAATAAAGAAACGAATGTAGTATTTTAAATTCTGATTTAAACAAAAAGGTTCAATGACATATAACACTGGCCAATAAAAATTGTTGGAGCAACGATTGTTTTTAACGTACCTTCCAAAGGACTGAGGCACTTTTATTTTAAATTTTTGTACACCAATCTTATGTCTGACCATTGCAAATGTTGCTTAACCCATTACTTAATATGTCAATTTGAAATTTCTTTCAACAGTGAAGAAGAAGCATCAATAATGATGGCCAACTCCTGGCTGTACCAATATTATGGCTATCAAAATCAACCGTGTAGTATGATAGATCCCCGCTGCCAGAAGTTCTTCAGACGAGAACAGTGTTACCAGGAACCTTATCAAGAGTCATACCAGTACACAGAAAGCCAAGAAGTTGATTATGGTACATATCACGTGTCAGCTTACGTGCCGCAGAAGACAATCGATGAGTATAGCGGATGCGAACGGATTTATGCAGAAAGAGGCCCAGTGGATTACTCAACCCATTCACCACAATCGACAATAAGCGAAGAAAGGTGAGTTTAAGTTTAATAATGTTGTCACTGCTAAAGCACACGCCTTTTCTATAAGGGAAATTGAAACGAATACGCAAAATAGGCTATACGATATACTCGTAATAACACTGCTATTACTAGTCTTTCCTTACTAATATTATTTTAGATAATTATAATTTAAATTAATAATAATTCCTTATAAAGGTGGAACTTTGTATATTTGGATATTTGTTAATTCTTCACGCAAAAACATCTGAACGGATTTTGATGAAGTTTGATATGCGGATTATTCTAAGCCTGGGTTTATGTGTACGCTACTATTTATACCACCAAACAGTTGCCTAGGAAACACGCGGGTAAAGCCGCTAGTAAAGAAATAATGTAAATCCTATTCCATATTTACAGTATTATTATGGATAACTGTTAAATGATCTATGGAATATGTACAATTTTTAATAACCACATGTACAATTTTTACAACAATAATACAACTTTTACAAATCAGGCATTGAAATAGAAAAAAAAAATTTAAGTCAGTTACTGTAATAATATAACCATCAAATCATTCATAACTTGCATAACAAACAAATAATTTTGTGGTATCGTTTAAAAACAAACATCACAAGGTCGCAGAACAATTTGTAATCGTCACGTCAGCCACGGAATATAAATAAGAAAATCATCGCGCTGTCCGCTCGTCTGTCCATCCGTAATTTGACACCTTTCATTACCATATTTATTGTGGACAAGCTCACAAACTTACTAATGCACGCTTCAAAATTCATCGCTGTTTTATTGATCGAAAGTTAAGGTTCAAAGTGTTATTTCACTTATTTTTATAAGTACACTAATCATTTTTGCTCGGTTAAACCAAATACGAAAAAGGTTCTCTCGGAGAAGTCTTAAGTAGATTGTGTATGAAGGCAGTTTGTACAGTACTTATTATAGTGACGTGACCTTTGAGGTATTAATACAAAGGATAATAACCCATTGATCTGATCACGTGACCTTTTGTTATGGCAGCCATCGAACACCACCTTTACAAACGAAACCTGATATTAAATTTATTTTAAAATGTCACCAATAATATTGAGTTTGATAGAATCTATGTGTCATGTGTTTGATAGAATGCCTCAATATAAGTTAAAAAAAAGTTTGAAAACACTATATATTTTAAAAAATCGCCAAAAAAAACGCAAAAGTATTTAGAGTATCTAGATGATTTGAGCGAAACATAACAGGCGAAGGCCAGCTAGTAATTTCTTTAATTTCTTAAAGTACCTCAGTTACCGGACGCGTTATATATTTTAAATTATTCACTTATCTGACTCAGATTTCTTGTTTTGTTATCTATTTTCCAGAAATTTAAAGAGAAAGAGCGATCTCTTGATACAAAACAAACTTGTAACGCTTGTCATCCACGACTTAATATTTTTTCGCCAAAGATTTCGTCTAATTCTGCAAGCATCTGATTGTGTATTTAATTTCATTATCATCAGCCCTTAGCATCAACCTGTTAGTGTCCCTAATGCCGGGTATAGGCATTCTTTATACATTCCAGCATGGTAAACGGCCATAACAATAGAGATATCAAACAACGTTATCTATGGCCAAATGGCCATAATTATTTCTGCCATCCACGACACGGGTCCGAATTAATGGATAATAGAGACTGCTGATGCTGCTGAGTAGTGGAACAGTTTAGTTTCCCTTTAAATCACATAGAAACTCAAGATAATAACTATTGGTCACCATCCAATGACTTACCTTTATGAAAGTGTCTTAACCATCAAAATCGCAAACTGTATTCACTAATTACCGCTCAAGAATGAGTATTAAAATTTCTTTGTAAACTAAGTATATTAATGAAATCATCTTCCATAACCTAACACAGAAAACCAAGTGTTCGTTACAAACATTGAACTATATTATATTTTTCTTCTTTCATCATCAGGTCTCCCCACCACTACGACCCCCCTCCTGAGATAGTGGTCAACAGCAACATGTACATGTATCCACATCATGGTAAACGGGAATATTACGAGCAATATCCTAGAGTGGGGTATCATTCAACGGAGCCATGTTCTACAGCTGTTATCGATGGTAAGACCAAATCACAATTAGTATCTTTAATTTTTTTCCAAAAAACTGCTCAACAAGCTAAACTTAATCTTGTGTTATATTAACCTTAAAAGACATATCATTATCATTAAATTGGAAATAATTAAAACAATAAAAAAAATCAACTTTCTCAACTACATACAATCGCCTTCTTAGCAATAGGTTACAGGGCTTTGACACCAGACACAGTTCGAATAGACCAATTGTAATGACACAACGCAACTGAAGTTGTTAATAAGTATATATCATTGAGAAAAGTTGGCCTCCCAATATATATCTGTGCTGTTTTTTTCTATAATGTTATATGTGTTGTATTGTTGTATGTATTGTGTGGGGCCAATAAAAACATTTTCTGTCTTTCTTTCTTCTTTAATATCTTAGTATTGTGCTTTAAGATATACAATTTTGAATGCAAAATTACAAGTTAATTTTAATTAGATAAGAGTTAGATGTCGCGATTTCTTAGGTCCTGATTTGATTTCCGGTCGAGGAAATTTTCTATTTTTTCTCGAGTTGGGGTATTGTGCTATCTCCTTTGTTTCAAATACACTTTTATACCTACTAGTGCTTTAGCTACTCTGTGATGTCGTCGAATACTTATTTATTCTATAGATAAAAGTTCGGGAGTCGATTCTGACACCGATAGAAACCTTACTCTGACTATTTAATAAGGACTTTGAAGGGTTTTAACTTTGAAAATATTAGGAAAACGTGTCTCAACATGCTAAAGTTAATATTAGACGTAAAATCTTCAGAATTCCAATCGAAATGTACTTTCTTATATCAGCAGGTATGGAATATCCAAGCGCAAAACGCATGCGTCTAGCACCAGCTCCACTAACCCTGGATGAAGCAGATGGAATAGATAGATGGAACCCCAGCCCACCATGGTCAGACACCAACTTGAAATTACAAGAATATAATACCAGGTTCACATACAACCATATGATGCCTATACCCAACACAGAAAGAGCTATGGTCACTTAATGTTTTATTACTTTTGTAATATTAAATAATATAAATTAATAATGTCGTTGTAAATATTGGTTTTAGTTGTAATATTTAATAACGGCTGGACCTATATCAACTTCAAAAGAGTGTTTGGGAAATGTTTTCCTTTAATTATCCCTAATAAAATTTTAGTAATGCTATTGTTTAAGTTAGTTTTTTATAAATGCAATCCTTTAAATTCGAAAATGTTCACTGAAAACTTGTTAGTGAAATCACAACAGATTTTTTTTGTAATAAATTTTGCTAAAAGTATTTAAATATAGAAAAAGCGAGACTCTGCATTTTAGGGCTCACCCCTCCTTGCATACCCTGCAAGGAATGTAGCACAAAGATATATATATAGTTTGAATATCCTGCAACATAAATTTTTTTTAAATCACTTTAGGGCAAATGACTCGATTTTGGTTATTTTAAGAACATACCATAGTTTAGACCAATTTAATAATTAACTTTCACACGCCACAACATGATAACGGTATTTGCCATAATGCAACATTATAAAAACCGTTTCCGGTAAAATAGTATATAAGTTTGCCTATAAGTTAGAGAGCCCTCAAATTTCAAATGGCCAAAAGGGGGTAGTGGTCAAAACCGGGTCTTTACCTCACATTGCAATAATTTCTTATTAATTATATAACAATTTAAGATAGCAATATAACAAAAATGCAGCTTGCATTTTAGCAATATATTTTTCGTGGTTTGATACACAAATTTTGTGCAATTTCGTTCTTTATTGCTATCACCATATCAATAATGGACACTTTATATATATATTTTTACTGTTTTCATTATATTAAATTATAAAAATTGTAAGGCAGTTATATGGAAATATATATTTAAAAATCTTTTTTTTAGTTGCATTTATTGGATTTTATATCCTATTGTACATTTGTATGCTCAAAAAATTACGGATTTCACAGTATTTTATAAAGTATGTCTTAAATGTAGGGATGTAAAGTTAATTTTATAATTTTAAGATAGTAAATTAGAAATGAGGTACGATTCCGTCCAAATATTTTTCTATTGAATTCCAAAGGAATTAGATAATTTAAACTTAAAATTTAATGTAAATATTATGCTTTTATAATGTTATCATTAATAAATAAGTTAGAACGATTTTTGTAAATATTTTATTAAGTATATTTTTCTGTGAAAATTAATTTAAATGAAATAAATCAATTGCGACATTATTATGGTAATATATATTATTTCTCACAACACACATAAATAAATATTAGACAAGATCACATATTTTTCCCAGATTATAAATTTAATGGCTAAAGCAGTTTTATTACAGAAATCCGAAACAATAGAAGGTAAGGTAAACTATAGAAAAGTTAATTGTCCTCCTCTATGATGATTATTTACCATACTGCAAATCGAAGCCGGTGCTTCAGAGGTGGCAACACCGATTAGCGTGCGAGTCACAAAGGGTCGCAAAATATCTGGGCGTACGGAAGTGTCCCCGCCAAGTCGAGCAAAAAGAGGTACGGCCATGCCCTCTTTTCATCCTTTTCTAAAAGACTTTTGACGCCCCGTAACTTAGTTTTGGGGTAAAATAGAAGCCTTTATTTTCAGTGACCACGAGGGTATCATATAACGAGGCATTTTTCCAAATGACATTAAATTTGAATCAGTAATTTAAGAATGATTGCAATTCAACTTACCTTAATTTTGTCACTAACTGACTAATAGATCATCAAAATTCTGAGGCACTTCTAACAAACACACAAGCTTCAAATGATGAACACTTATCATTTCGCATAAATCTAAGAATTTAAAATGTAAATAATTAAAATCTATGATAAGGTAACTACTCGTATATTATTACCATAGCAAAAAAATTGGAAAAGCTATTCGGTACGGTTAAGCAATCTACACCACCATTCTCTCAGCCAATTTGAAATGAAACATACCTTTATTAATGCATCACATTTACATTTGGGCATAGTTATAGATACTATAGATATATAAATCTATGTGGCATACAAAGTGGACCAACGAACGGCCAACAAATAGAATCAATTGGGCTTCAAACGAGACAAGACTTATCTACATGCGGTCAAGCATATGTGACATTTTCGAGAACGACATACCTAAACTGTTCATATCTAATCAAAACTTTAGTTGTATTCTGAATATAATTGACTTCTTAAAGAAAAATACTAAAAAAATCCAATATGTCTAAAAAATACTCTGAGATGGTATATAGATCCTATCGTCGGAGAACCAGGGACAAAGTGATTTTTTTAAACATTTTTCACTAATAATATTTTTCAGTATAGCATTGTGAATGCAAAATTAATCACATATAAAAAAAAATTATAATAGAGTTACTGTAGAGGCATTCACCGAGTAGATACTATTTAATAACGTTTTTTAAAAAAATCCACAGATACAGAGAGTGAGTGACCTTTGTTGCCCGTAATTGACGCTCAAGATATAATATCCGAAAATAAAAAAGGACAACTACCTACAAAACAAAATGAGATCACATCAAAAACATAACATGTAAAACAATGCACAAGTCTCACAACGCAAATCTTCTGTCGTACAAAGTTATGAAATCATAAACCAAGTCGATTAATTCAGTACCCATCTTTCTGTGAGAGTAGCTATCCAACCTTTTATAGATTTAGGAATAATATTGGACTTTAGGTAGTTATTACAATGCAAGTAGTTAAGATTCTATTGAGGTGGGATTATAACGTAAACATTATCAGAATCGGCCTGTAGATGATTTATTTCATTTTATTTTATTTCATACGCATTCATTTTATTTTCTAAAAATATTTGATTTTAGTTATTAAAGAAACATCCATAAAGACATAGATTACAATAAAAATTAAGTACGTAATTATTATATTTGATAAATGTTGCTTTCACAAAGCTATACCGAAAAATATTCTTAATGAAAAACCCATTTGAACCCATGACCTTTTGCAATCCCGTCTCATAGTACCAGTGAAAAAGTGTTTTATTTAAGCATTTTTCATTTATAATAAATACGCAATCGTTATATCGTAATTAGTGCCACTAATACAAAGTAGCTCGGTGGCGTAGTGGATAAGCGCCGCGGCCCGCGATCGTAATCGTTAAGCAACTTTCGCAAGGGTCGGTCACGGGATGGGTGACCAAAAAATTATTATCCCGAGCTACTCCGTGCTTCGGAAGGCACGTTAAGCCGTTGGTCCCGGCTGCATTTGCAGTCGTTAATACCCTCCAATCCGCATTGGGCCAGCGTGGAGGGTCATAGCCCATCCTCCTTAACCATCCATAAGGAAGGCCTGAGCCCCTGAAGTGGGGACGTAAAAATGGCGGTGAGGATACAAAATATGTCATACCATATTTTCCCGCAACTTAGACCTAAATGATAGCCTTTGTATAACCACGTCTGGTGCAGTTTCCCGTAGGTCATTTTTATGAACTCTTTATATATTATTACCTCTTTCTAATATTAGTATAGATATAAATATTAATAAACATCGACAACCAAAATTAGCCCATGTTAAATTTGATTAATAACTTACAGAAGACTTCTGTCCGAATTCAATAGCATTTTCTTGAATTAGTAGCTTTAGAGATAAGTATTAATTATCATATTTTTAAAGTTTGATGTCAGTTCTATTTTTTTTTTTTATGTTTTTATTTCATGCTCTTTAGTGATATTGAAATTTTTTACGTAAAAGGTAACATTAAAAATATAATATTAATTAATCATAAATTTAAGCTTTTTTGTCTATTTCTTTGAGAATCTAATTTACATACAAGATCACAATTAGTGTGTGTGTGTTTGCGTTATAGGATAAACGTTGTGATGTTTTATATGAAGAAAATTTTGACACTTCACTTATTGACTGCAATAACTTCTGTGTTCTGTGGCAATAACCCTGAGAAAAAAAAATAGTTTTGTAGTTTGTAATTGCAAATTATGTGAACGTTATTTCATGTTAAAAAAAAAAGTTGAAATATTCATTTCGGTGTAGATATGCGCCCTCATAACTAATAACTTTTATATATATTATGTTTATACGTATAATTAATTATACGTCAAAACGTCAGGATACAATCTTTCATCCGAAATATATTACAATTAAAACACACTCAAAAATAAATAATTTCACTAACTCTGATAACTTTCCACAGAACACCCTATGTTCCACGGAAGCCTCTTTAGGAATCGCTGCACTAGACAAATCTTAATCATTGAATACGTCCGCGTCGATTACCCGAACTGTTTAAATGTCTAATGTAGTCCGTTTTGCATAATGTCGAAGCTAGAATGAATGAAACCCGAGAGTGTTCTAAGAAAACAGCACAAGTGTTCACAAATCAATCTGGGAGCGACATTCAATGTCTGTTAATTAATGCATAGGTTAATACAGTATCTACCAAATAATATGGTGCATGGTAAATCCTTTTTTTGTGTAGTATGGATAGTTTGGTGCTTTGTGCACTGACCCGAACCTTGATAGACGACAGGTAAGTAGTGTGTGGGACTCACCATCCGCACGGACCCGCCCGAAGGTTAATCGAAACGCGGATGGTATACCCACACACCCTCTCTTTTGGGATGGGCCTGTGATCAAGCAGGGAGTACTCCATACCTAACTCCTGACGCATTATAGAGATATGAGAGTAATAGACGGAGGGGTTGGTAATTTTATGCCTGTATATTAAGCCATCCAATTTTGTTAATTTAAAATAAAAAAAAAATTACATCATTGAAATTCTCACAACCACCCCCTTTATCTTTTACTAGCTGTTTTCCTGCGGCTTCACCCGCGTAAATTATAGAATAAATCACCTGCGCATGATTTTGTAGCTTCCCGAAGGGGAAAGAATTCTTAAAATCGATCCCTATAATAGATATCTTACTTAGATACCTTACTAAGAAAAAATATATTAGTCCTACTCGAAAACAAACAATTTTTTTCTTAGGTTAGGTCTTGGGTAGCTCAGTGGTTAGGGCAGCCGGCCGGATTGCGAAAGGTCATGTGTTCGAATCCCATCTCAGGGTAACAGGAACAAAG